GGGGGGGGGCGGGGGGGGCTGCGTACTGACAGCCTTGAGTTCTCCTCCAAACTCTGTCGTTCCTTTCAGTGCAGTCCCAGGCGGACACCAAGGTTTGAATCACAGCAGTTAGGTACTTGCCTGTTAGAGCTGTCGTGAGAATCGGTCCTTTCTTTGCGCCAGCAAAGTGCTTGGCGGATACGAAATGCAAAGGTGTTAGGTGGGAAGGCAAGGGGCAGCGACACTCCCCAAATGCGGATCCTTTTGTCTAAAAGGAGCAAAGGGAGCCTTGCTGTACTTCCCCATCGAATTATATATACCACAGACACGGCTTTCCTTCAGCATCCTAATCATTCTTAAGCATTCTGCTCCTGAAATGTCCACCTTGAAAAAAAAAAAGGCTTCATTCAATATAAATTAGGATTTCCCCTTCATACCTGTCTGATCCAAAGCATTGCTAGTCAATGAGAGTGTTTCCATTTACACCATGTCCATAGAAATCATTTGGATCCTATTTTTCCCGTGTGGTTTTGCTCCTCTTTAACTTTGGATCCCCAGAAACCTTTCACTTCCACAGGATTTCATTTCCAACTTTGTTTTAAAAAAGATAATGGCAATTTCTTTTACTTTCTGTTTGCTACAGGAAGGTTTCTTTTGCTTAATGGTTTGGATTTTTTTCTAGTTTCTGTCCTGGATTATTTGGTACTGCTGGATGCTACAGAGCCGGTGTGAATTTCAACCTCCGATCTGGTCGTGTTTTGATGGCGAACACAATATAAAGCATGAAAGCTGCGATGAAAAGGTAAGTAGTTCTTAAATTGTATTTATCTCCATGTTCTCTGCTGGTTTTAAGATCCACCAGCGCAGACAAACCCTTTCTTTGGCGATTGCATCGGCTTTTAATTCTTTCCAAGCTCCTTAGACCTGAACTCCGCTACCGTGGCCCTGTGAGTAACAGCGTTTGCTAATCCGTGCTGGTTTGCCATTTCCTTACATCAGGAAAGGTCACGTTGTGTGATAACTGTCCACGGGCCTCGGTGCTGTCATGATTTTTGTGAAATTATTTTTTTTGTTGTTTTTACTTTCGGTCAGCGCCCTGCCTGTGGGGATTTTTCTCCGTGTGGCAATCCCCCCCACCGGTGTCCCAACAGGCTGCAGCAACGCTTGTCGCTTTGGGGGGGGACGACAAGAGATTTTTCCCCCCCTCCTTCGGCAAAGTGCCCCCCCCCCACACCCCCCCCCTTGCAAAAACCGCTGGTGGCCTTTAACCGTGCCCGGGGCGGAGCGGGGGGGGGGACACCGGGACCGGGCAGCGGCGGCCGGGCGGTGTCTGGGGGGGGACACAGGGACCGGGACCGGTCCGGGGGTTG